CAATCGGCGAGCAGCGGGTTCACAGTACGTTTTGTGTGTCCTAATATGAAGCTAGTTTGTTCATTACAGTTTTTCTTCGTTTTTGTATGTGGTGCTTTGTTCATTGTATCATGACTCATTTAAAAAGGTGAAAACTAGTCCGCTGCATGACGAGGCTGGTTTTCCCTGAGCCTATTGGTCTAATTAAAGCAATGCGTATCAAGTCAGTGCCATCCACCAGTCCTCAAAATCTTGAAAAGCTTCTTTCTTAATTCACAGACACTTCGGAAAATCGTAGTTCAACAACTCATGTTTAAGTAAGTTTCAGCAACCCTTTTTCATTTGGTTTTCTTTCTCTTTCCTCTCTCTCGCGTCTTCTATTTGTCTCGTCTTCAATTCTCGCCACGTTCTTCCATTAGAAAAAGCGCCTGCGGCCATGGCCTATAGCACAAGCACATAGCGGTTTGGCTTTAGAGTATTGTGTTAAAAGAGTCGATTTATAAGAGTTTAAACCCCCTCCTGACCACTAGCAGGTATTGTTCTTGAAAGTCCCATGCGGGAACTACTCCACTATGCTTGTATTAATACGTACTGAGCCAATTGGTGAGCCTCCTTCCAGGAGGGAGTGTTAACCGCCAATGTTAGGTAAATCTGCAATATTTGTTTCACAGTTTCTGTGCACTGGCCCTGAAAAACCTCACTGGCCAGGGGAGTATGTCAAACAAGATATTTAGTTTACTTAGTTTATTTATTTTACTTTGTATGGGAACGCAAAGATGTTGTTTTCAACAAATCGTACGGTAAAAATTCGAGTACTGCCGGACTGTGAATGAAATTGCGTCATCTTGTTGCTGTGTTGTATTGAATGTACTCATTGTTCATAAAGAGCTCTTACTGACTTGGTTTTATTTATCCAGCGAGTATGCTCATAGAACAAGAGAGCTTGCCGATGCAGGCTAAATCGCCTTTCAAATATATTATCGTCTAATCTCAATGCAGATGATCCCGCTTTCACCCTTTCCGTTATCTCTAGCAGACGAAACAGCTGTAGCTTCAAAATGTCTTGTAGTTATTGGAGAATAACTTGTTGTTTGAGAGCTGAGTGAATTTAAATTGGCATAAAGAACACAACGTGACATTAATGCGTCCCAAGATCCTTTGCTCCTTTGTTTGACAAAGTCCACAATCAACACGACCGCCGAAAGATCAAACCAAGTTACATTTGACTTAGTTTCGAAGTTTAACAGCAAAAAGACTGATATCTATGTGGAGAATACGTCCACCGCATGCAGCCTCGTAGTGTTCCAGATCTTTGAACGTGAGGATAGCTTGGTACAGTGTTGGTCAGTCCATTAGCTTTGGTTGGAAGCTGCTTCCGCTTTTGTGACAGTAAGGAATAATGGTAAGTCTTAATAAGGCCCCGTCAACACTACGACGGAGGAATTTGAAAACGCAGCTTTATTTCTACGGTTAGGCCTACCGTCCACACTAATCCGTCACGGAAACGGAGCTTTTCGAAAACACTCCTCAAACGGGGGTAATTTGAAAACGCCGGTTATGCGTTTTGGTATGGACGGAGAACATTTTGAATACGATGCTTTTCGAAAACGATGTCGTTACGATAATTATGATGCTCCGCTGCTCGAGTTTTACTCAAACACAAATCTAAAATGACCGGTGATTGTTGCGTTGTTAAATTTTTCCGGCGAAGTGTGGACGGAAAACATTTGATGCGTTTTCAGAGTGAAAATTCCGTTTTCAAATTCCTCCGGCGTAAAGCGGACAGGGCCTAAGTAAAAGGGATGGCGAATGGTAAACGCGAGACTTTGCGAGACGGCGAGACTAGCGTTTTTCTTTGCGAGCCCGAGAGAATTT